TTTTTGCTTATATGATCGATCCATCTTCATGGATTGACGATAGGTCGGCCAACTTGGAGAAGCTTATCAAGAATGTGTACATTATTTTCAGCAAAGAAACACCACGATTTTTCGGAAATGACTTAATGGAGGTACTATACCGATGTTTTTATCTAAAAAATTGAAGTTCCATGGTACAATAACTGCATCTTGGAGTGTACGATTCATGTTGATTAAAGATTCCTTTTTGTTACATGGTAAAATCTGTTTGAGCTTGTGTGAGTTGTGGAAAATTGTAGGAAATGTGTAGTAATGATAGTTGAGTTGTGGTCGGATAGAGAAAAACTAGAATGCTCCAGTTGTTTTTTTAATTGAGTTGTATCACTTTAGAATTCAGGTGTCATAGCATTTTTTTTTTTTTTATCTGAAAATTTGAAGTAGTTTGATATTTGTAGTTCCTCATTGCTGGATTTCTTGTCGATATACATTCGATTTTGTTCATGTCCTTTTATCTCACTGTGATATAATCATCTAAAGTTTCATAGGTTGGCTATCTTGGTGAAGAATAATTCACGTCTGATTCATTAGCCAATTATTAGAAAGGAAGACCCTCAATTTTTCGAAAAGTGATTTCTAAGGGGGTACTAATTTTCATGTTCTTCATGCCCAGAAATGACTTTGCACGGTGATAATTTGTTTTTTCTGGTTTGTGAGAGTGATATGATGATAAGTTACTGATGTATTGATTTTCTTCCTTGTATAGTTTTTCTTTTTATTATTATTATTAAGGTGAAAAGCTCTCCACATTGCGCCAACCCTTTTAAGCCTGAAATAAATTGCTAAATAGGTAATGATGTTAAAGTGTGTTACAAATTTATGCACTTATTCATTTTTGTGAGATTGAGAACTAACATTTAATAATCTTTTCATTGTCCAAAATATAGGATTTGGCATAATGTGATAACTCTAGTACTAGGTGTTTGGCACACAATAAGCTTACATGTGGCACACGATAGAGGACAGTATGCGTTCGGAACTTCTAACAAGTTGTATGTAATAATGTAATGTTTTACGTTTATTTTTTCGGTCCTCACAGCTTTCCTCCTCGTGTTATTTTGTGTTAACTTGGATAATAATAAATAAGTTGTTTGGAGTGAGATTTTTCGCTTTTTGTTGGGCTACCTTTTGTAGCTCTGCCAAACAAATTTCTAGTTGCCATCAAATTTGCTGGCTCTAGAAAGTGTATATACTTTTTTCGCAATCATTTATAGCTAAAAAGTTCATTCTCGCACATCACACGCAGACTGAGCAAACACTTGATATACATTGGGAAGAAAAAAGGGAAAGCTTAGTTTGTTCGATTTTAGGCACTGTCCTAAAGGTAATTCATCACCAACTTGGCAATATTTTGAGTCATATTTGTAATGTGGAGTAACTGTACTAAACTAGTTTAATTTCTTCTTCCCTGCTCATTTTACGGATGCCATCACAAGCACCCGATGGATAAACTCAGGCTCATTTTCCCTCCTGCTGACTCTGCTTTTATAGCCTTGCCGGTATGGAAAAACTCTGAAAAACGAGATTTTTTTTAGAAATATTGATAATTTTTCGCCGAATTTAGGAAATACAAAAACAAAGAACTCGTTTATGGAAAAGTTGAGGGGTCGAAAAATGTTCACACACGATTTGCATGAAATGTAAGATAAAATCAAATCAAATCTCGGTTTCTTTCACTTGGGTTCTCTTTGTTAGTGCCTCAAAGGCTCAGCCTTTCGATTTTATTTTTGTTTTTTAAAAAAAAAATCAGCTGTGGCGTCTGATCAAGCTCTTTGCATCGGAGGCATATTCCCCTGCTTTGTTCGGAAGCACGATTTTGGGATATGTTATTTATGATCTGACTCATTATTATCTACACTATGGAAAACGATTGAAAGGCATTTCTCATGAACTCAAGGTGAACTCATCTAATATCGTAATTCCATTTAATTCGAGAGTTCTCGATTGTGTGTGTGTGTGTGTGTGTTTTTTTTTT